CGTATAATATTTCATTTAATCTTTAGACTCTGTGTGGTAGATACTGTTGTTATTCCCATTTTAAAAATGAGAATATTGAAACAGGGAAGTAACTTTTTCAAGTTCTCATAGTTGGCACAGCTTGGGGCCAGGATTTTAACCTGGTTCCAGAGCCTTGCTCTCATTCACTATAGTATACTGACTGCTGATATAGGAAGGTGAAATGAATACTAACACAGTATAAAAATAAAAGTCACTACTTAATATTTATTGCATCTTATCATTAGGCAGGCACTAGGCTAAGAGCTTGTCACACATATTCTTGTTTAATTTTCTTAGAAAGTAGTAGCTGATATTTGCCCCATTTTATAAGACTAACTAAGATTTTAAAAGGTTAGTTGACCTACTAGGTGGAACAGCTCAAGTTCATCTACCTCCGAAGCCTGTGTTTTTCACCATCTTTATAAATTAAATGCTAGAGAAATGTACTATGTTGTTTTAAGAGGGCACATTCCCAGTACCTTCTAGAAAGGATCTACCTTTCCAAAATGGTACTGAGAACACACTAAATGTTCTTACTCTCCCTTTTTCCTCATGCCAGGCCATTCACCGTCTTGTTGATACTCATTATTGCCAAGTCTCCCTTTCAGAGGTTGTTGCCATATCTCCATTATAGGTTTTAAATTGATTTTGTTTTGGGTTGGCCATCCCCTGAAATACCTAGTTTGTTAGGGAGGAGCCATTATTATATTGAATACTTGTACCCATATCCTTCCAGAAGATGTTCTACCTCTTTTTTGTCATAATATATACATAACATAAATTTTACTGTTTTAACCATTTTTAAGCATACAGTTTAGTGGCATAAAGTATACTCAGTGTTGCATAATCATCACCACTATTTTCAACACATTTTCATGATCTCAGACATACTTCTTTTAAAAAGAATACAATCTCCCCCATATTACACACATACATTTATAATTATAAAGGTCACACATGTCCATTAGAGAACATTGGCAAACTACTGGACATATAAAGTTGAAAATTTAATCTCCCAAGATCTCACCCTCAGCAATTCCTCTGGTAACATTTTTTTAAGCATTTCCTCTAGCTCTTCCTGTGTACCTGTGTGTGTGTATTTAATTAATTGTATTGATCTTTTCCGTTAAGATGTGACAATGTCTGTTACCTGTGTTTGGGTTCTAGGTTGTTTGAAATTGCATTGTCAAAGACTTTTTTAGCCTATAAAAGCCCCACATTCAGAAAACCAGTATTTATTTATTTATTTCTGAGATCTATTTTCAATGATTTATTTATTCATTCATTCATTCATTCAAACACGTATTGAGTGTTTCTCTATCCTAGGAAAGTCCTATGCTAGAAGAACAGGGAATACAGAGATGAATGTGTCAGGGGGCTTGTCCTTAAGCAGCTTACAGTCTGGTTAATGTACACAAGTAAGTAGTCCATGGTGCTGTGTGTACCATGGTAATGGATGTGTGGGCCAGAGCTGGTGCTGACAAAAGTAGTGATCAGCCATGGTTGGGAGTTCAGCCAGAGTCATCTTTTTAAACGCAAATTCAATTATGACATAAATATAACAGAAGAAATCACACTGTGAACAGTTTACAATCTGAAACATGCTTTGTCCACTTAATGTTGTATTATGAGCACTTTTCCATGTCCCATGTTTTTAACAGTTCTTCGTATCATTAATTTTAATGGCTACCGAATATATCTTATTTTAATTTACTTAACCGTTCTGCTGTTTGTTGGTTATGCAGGCTGTTTCCAATTTTTCATTATTCAAATAATACAATGAAATCTATAAATTTAACTCTTGCCTGCATTTTGGATTGTTTCCTTAGGATTTGGGTCTGGATGTATCCGTTTCAGTTTATTCTCTTTTAAGATTTTTTAAAATGTAAACTATTCGAATTTCATAGGTGAAAATTAGTATTTTAATTTTATGTAATAGAAATTATTTCTTTAAAGTCTTTACATAAACAGCTGATGCCATTTAGAGATGGATTTTTGTTGGCCAAAGCACAGATGTATTATTTTAATTTTTTTTTAATCTTTCCTCCTTTAGAGTTACTTCTGTTTTGATAAGAATTCTGTGCACTGCCTAAAGTAGGTAGAACAAACTTTTTGCAGACACAGTTGAAACTCAGAAAGGTTAATTTTGGATCCGAAGTCACACAGCAAAGTGGTGGGATTAGAAATAATGTTTCTTCTTTTTTCTTATTTATATAGCACTTTACAGTTTCCAAGGTACATCCAAATCTGTTATTTTATTTGATTTGACCCTTACAATAATCTACAAGTAGATAGGACAGATGTGCTCATCTCAAAGATAAGAGAGCAGAAAAATTATCTTGATTGTACAGGGTCTCATATTTCTTAATTCGAGAATTAAGACCATACTGCCAAACAGACTGCCAGATTATCAGGGAAATCTGAACCAGAGCCCTTCCCGTTGCCCAGTCATAAGTGAATATTATTTCCTACACGATGGTACAGAAAATAAAGCTCCCTCTAAAAGATGAGTGAGAGGTGGAGTAATTTATTCAAAGACACACAGCTAGTAAGAATTGAGTCTTATTTCAAACACATCCCAGATCTCTGCTTTTTTAACTAGACGCCCAGAAGAATGTTCCCACCAAGTAATTTTGTCTTCTAGAGATGTAAATTTTGCCTTTGCAAAATGCAGCTCTTGGAGATTTCAGATTCTGCTGCTGTGTATTTGGTAGGACAGGTAAACAGTGTTCTCTGAACCAACAGACACCAGCCTTGCCAATATTCTTTTACATGGACAGGAGAGTTTTACTTCAGGTAAATGCTGCCCATCCCTATTCTTCCTTTATTTCATCTCCTTTCTAAGTGTCTGTCTGGGAAAGTAGCTCTTATCAAACACAGGAGGGCTGATCATTTTGCTCTTTTTCTAAAATTCCTAAGTAATGTGGATTTTTTGCAGTGTTTCAGAGTCCATATGACTTAAATTTAAGGTTTTAAAAATGTGTTCTCTATAATAAATTTAAACAACAGAGGTACATAAAAGTAAAAAGAGATAGTTTTTCCTTCTTTACTTCTTACCCAACCTCCCAGAGGTAATCTCTGTTAATAGTATGGTGTGCACCTTTTAGACTTTGTTTTTTGTTTATATTATATGTATATTCACATGTGTGTTTGAGTGTACATGTATTTTTCACACTGTATTTTTTCTGAAACTTGGTTTTTAAAATATTATATCTTAGACGTTTTTCCAATCAGTGCATTTAGATTTATCTTTATTAAAAGCAGTTGCATATTAGTTTGTCAAATTGCAGGGTCATAGGGTATATGCATTTTAAAAAATAAGATGTATTAAGTGAAGGACAACACGTTCTAGTGGGTGCATCTGGTTTTAAGCCTGCGGCTGAATGACTTTGGGCTAACTAATCATCTTCTCTGAGCCTCAATTTCCCTATCTATAATGTGAGGATAGAAATACCTTATGTTGTTTTGAAGATTAAAATCACTAATTAGTTTACCAAGCATTTCTCGAGGCCTTCTGTGTACCAGGTAGTATTGACTAAGATATTTGATGATATTCTGTAAACTGGGAAATCTTCTAAAAGGGATCTACCATGAGAATAACCCAGAAAGAGATGTATGCTTATCTTTGTCTCTTCCCCACTCACCTTAGCGATGTCTCTGAGTCTCTGCTTGACAAGTGCCTGTATACCTACCACTCTCCTAATCCCGACATCTTGATACGGACATCTGGGGAAGTGAGGCTCAGCGACTTCCTGCTTTGGCAGGTAGGTAGTTTCCAATCACTGTTCTGTTCATGACAGCTGAAAATTGCTACTACGCCCACAGAATGGATTAGAGGGGCTCATCCCCACTCCCAGCCATGTTGGCATCAAAGAACTTTGTGGGAGAGAAGGCCTAAAATCTGGAGCAATGTCCCCAGGCTATGCCTGGTAACGTTTACTATTTCTTTCTCATCTGTCCCTGGCTTTGTGAGCCTCAGTGATTCTTGCTCTAAAGTTCCTAGAGGAAAAATCAAGGTTATCCAACTGTGGTGAAAACATCACCTGTGCTCTTGTTCAAGGAACTGAACTTTTGCCTTATGTCCTTGGTAACTTGCCAGGCACCTCAGCACCTCTAGGCTAGAACCTTGCTTTGCAGTTACTAGTTTCTCTCCTTCAGAATAAAGGGCCACATCTATGCAGGCACAGTCCACAGGGGATGTAAACTATATGCAAACTCTTAAGAGCCATTGTCTCTTAGCTCAGTTACCCCAGTGTAGGTAGTCCCGCAAAAGCTCATGTTCATGTAAGTTTGTCTTTGCTTGAAAATCTCTATCATCTGTTCATTTGACCCCTGGATAGTACATGACAGGGGTAAGTCTTTGTTCAAGGAGAGGTAGAGGGAGAGACTCAGCTTGGAAGCAATTCACATTATAACGTTACAGAAATTTTAATGGACCATAGTCTTAAAAGTGAACTAACAAGATTTAGCTACTAAAGATACTTTTAGTCTTTGGCTGTAATGAAAGAAGGATAATGTGCAGCTTATGGTTCTCTGGCCTACTCTGCTCATCAGAGCATGTCTAGAAAGTTTACTTCTGGGCATTGAGTTTTAAGACACTACTTAGTAAACTGGAAGACTTACCAGAAGAGGCCAACCTGGATAGCAATGTCCTATAAGGAATGCGTAAAGAATAATGGTCTAGAAAAGGGAAGCATGGTGACAGTTTATTCCTTTGCAAAAAAATATTGAGTCCCTGCTTTGTGTTGGGAGTATGGCAGTGACCAAGTCAGAAATAGTCCCTACTGTCTTAAAACTTATAGTTTGTTGGCAAAGACAAAGTGAACAAGTCATTACAACCTTGGGAGCAGATGATAGTCACCTCTAATCTAGCCTTCAAATATTTTAAAGAATTACACTTTGAATAAGAAACAACCTTGTTCCAGAGAAAAGACCTGAAACCTTGGTAGAAATTCCAGGGAAGGTGACATTGGTTTAGCATAATAAGCTATGGGACAACTAAAGTTATCCCCCTGGAGGCATTGAATTCCATCCTCACCACTAAAAGTATCTGGCAATGGCTGTCAAGAATGTTCCCCAAAGGGTTCTCACATCAGTGAAGTTTACCCAGCTGTGTGCTCTCTGACTGCTTTATGTCCATCACGTTGTTTAATTTTCATAGTACTTTAAAAACTAGGTATTCTTATTACCCCAGTTTTACAGCCGAGGAAACTGAGGCCCAGAGAGGTTAAGTAACTTGTCTCGGGTCAAATAGGTGGTAAATGGTGGAGCCAGAAATCAAAGCCAAGCAATGTGGCCCCAGAGCCCATGCTTTTAACCACTGTGCCACACTCTGCTACTTAAAAATAACAATAGCAGCTACCATTTGTTCATTGCTGACTTTTATCAGATAGTGTGTCTCCCAGATGACTTCAAAGGGCCAAGAGCCAGTAATCCAGATGTTATTTTATAGTCCTAAAAGTGGCTCTCAGAAAAATCCTGTTGGAAATGTTGATCGAGTCTTGTTTTAGTTCTGCCCTGGTGCAGGCAGGTGATCTTACTGCTTCAGATGACCCCTCCTCCATTAGTGAGTGAATCAGAGCTGGCAGCAGCTGCAGCCCAGGATACCTGTGCCATCTCATCTCTGGGCTTCTGGGTCCTGCTCAGCCTGCTCCTTTGGAAGCCTGACCAGGGATATGTCCAGCAACATGTTACTAAACTCTTTCTCCTCACCTTTCCCAGACCTCTCACTCCTGCCTGGTGTTCCAGCCCATTCTGTGGCCAGAATACATGTTTTGGAACCTCTGTGAGGCCATCCTGCAGTTCCAGATGAACCATAGCATGCTTCAGGTTAGTTCCAGGTGAACTGTAACATTCATCAGGTGTGGTTCCAGATGAACCATAGCATGCGTCAGGGCAGGCCTGAACAGAAGAGGTAGAAGAAAAGGTGAGCATTGATTGACAACCTGTTATATATAGCAGGTACTTGCTAATAAGCATGTTAATAATGATGATGGTAGCTATCACTATGTGTGTACTATGTGTCTGGCCCTGAACATTTTATATGCACGATCTCATTTAATGCTCCAAGAACCTAACGAGGTAGGTATTATTAGCCCAACTTGTGCAAAGAATAGATAAAAATTATTTAATTAAGGACACAACCAATAAGAGACAGAACTGAGATTCAAGTTAAAGTCTTTAATCTCTTTACCCAGGAAACCCAGGAAAGACTTCTCAGAGAGATTGGCCATTATTCCCTGAAAGTATTAGCTTTGATCACCAGATCTTGAAATAGTTTTCATTAAGAGGCAGAGTCAACTGCATCTGATTAGGATTTTTAAAATGGCAGCATGTGTGGTGGTGGCAGCTAACATATTAAGGGTCTACTAAGAAGGCACTTAGGTGTTTTCATGTAAGTTTTCTTATTTAACTCTTCTCAAGAAGGCACTTTAGTGGAGAAACCAAGGGAACTTCAACCCACTGTGTGACCTAGGCCAAGTCCCTTCCTGTCTCAGCCTCTAGTGTCTTTGTTTAAAGTAAGGAGGTTGGAGCAGATAGTATTTAGGATTTTCACTGACTTTATTATCCTAATGATGATTCCCTGATTCCTGGCAAATAGAGGCCAGGCTCTCTGTCTTGGCTGCAGCCTCCCTGCCTGGCACTGAGTCTGGGGCTGCTGTTTAGAAGAAGCCTGAACTTCACAGAGTGACTTTAACTCATTCTGTATTTCCTCTCTCTGTGGCCGGGTGCCCCATCCTTCCTGTCCTGCCAGAACTTAGCCTGTTTAGCCATAGCCACAAGCAGTGCTGATAGAAGAATAGCTCACTGTTAATAGCCAGGCACCAGGCTGGGCATTTATTATCTCATTTTTCCTCAAACCACTCAGTGAGGTGCATACTGTCATCCCCATTTTGCAGATTATGAATTAAGCTTAGGGAGGTAGAGTCCTTTGGACAGGAATTTCCGAACCCTGGTGCTCCAGGAGGACTCACTCTGGCCTGATCAAGGTCTTCAGACAATTTCATATGTCTTTGACCATCATTTCCACTGCTTGATATTCTCCCCACCACTATCCAAATCCTCCACATTGGTTAAAACCCAGCTCAAATATTGCCTGTCCACTGCTCCTTAACCTTCATCAGCCACAATTTCTCTCTCTTCTGAGCTGCATGACCCTTTCTTTTGCCTCCCTTACCACATTCTACTTTGTGTTATGGGACTTTATATGTAGAGATCTGTGTCCTAATCAGCCTGTAAGCATATGGGTTGCTGAGACTGTATCCTGAACATCTCTTTACCTCCCAATAAGGCCCTATACGTAGGACCCAGGGTTCCTCCTGACCAAGGCCAGCAAGAAGCCCTTTCAGTAAGATGGAGAGCCTTAGCAGCAACTTCTTAAGCCCATTTTAGCCTTCATAGCTCCAGGCTTGAGTTCATTATCATAGAAAAAGAATGCCCTTGAACACCTAGAAGGAGGATATTCTAGAGTTTTCATTTGTCAACTTTATTCTTGCAGTGAACCTTTATTGCTGAGAAGACTTAGCAGATCACTTCTTTATTCTGAACCGCCATGTCTGTCTCCAACAGAAAGTATCTCCCTAGCTCCTCTGCAAGGGTCAAGTGCTTGTGCTCATGTAAGATGTTTCTTAAAGGATAAAGACAGAACAATCCAGGTGTTTACAGGCTGAGTAGGACAGAGACACGTACACAAATACCATAAGGTGGAATTACGTGGTAAAGGTCATCAGGATATAGGATGCCAGGTCAGCAACAAAGCAGTTTCTCACACATGGAATGGGTTTGGAAGAGCAGCTCTGGTGCATAGCCTCTGCGGCAGGTTAGAGTGGCAGATGCAGAGCGTATCAGTGAGGCACAGCAAAGCCTTGGTTCTGCTCCAAAGGGATTTTCCCCTCCCCAGGAGCATCCTCTCTGCCTTCCTGGGATCACATGGTCAGTCAACTGAGTATTTCACACATACAGGGCACCCCAAATGCCAGAGGATAAGCCACAGTCTCTGCCCTCTATGAGTTTATGATTTGTATGTAGACAAAGGGTATGAGAAGGGCTGCCAGGGAGAATGATTACCTACCTAATGTCAGAGCTGGTTCCAGGAGCTCTTGAGGGTTCTATGGAGCCCTCAAGGGCTTATTTTCTAACAGAAAAAGTGGACTATGGATACTAATACCTATTCTACTAGGCAGCATGCAGTAAGTGGCTTAAAAATGCTGAACCTGCTTCTTAGAATGTTCATAAAAGGGTCATTTGCTAGAATAGTCAAGTTGGTGTCCTTATGAGAGGCAAGTCAAGCCCAATTCTGAAAAATAGCTTAGGGAGTTGGGAGAATAGCACCCTTAGAATGACCTGGAAAGCCAAAGGAAAGGACCCCATGGATGTGCCCCAGGCAGGAATAAGACCTTCCTTGTAGCAGAGAATAGACAGTAATAATGTGTGAAATTGCTGTTTCTGTTTGAGAGCCTGCTAATATGCTAGAGAGGGTTTTGCATATATTATCTCTAATCCTTAAACCACTCTTCAAGGTAGGCACAACCCCCACTTTACAGATGAAGAAATGAGGTTAGGAGAGGATTTACCCAAAGCCACAAAGCTAGTTGGTGAGGGAACCAGAAGTCAGACCCACATTGACTGGTTCTCTTCCAAGTGCAAACATGAGAAGAATTTTAAGAAATACAGATGCTCCCACCCAAAACAAGATGGACCCAGAAGTGCCACTGCCCTGCCTGTACAACATGGGCACCACCCATTGCACACCTACTTTCAAACCTTTCCGAAAGTGGTACAAACTCCCTACTGTTGCATTTAACTTGGTCTACCCTGTGCTCCGCCCGCTACTTCCATCCCTTTTCCACCCGCGCCTAAAAATGGTCTCCCCCAATCCCCACTTTTCTTTAGCAGAAGGCCCGAGACATGTATGCAGAGGAGCGGAAGAGGCAGCAGCTGGAGAGGGACCAGGCTGCAGTGACAGAGCAGCTGTTGCAAGAGGGGCTCCAGGCCAGCGGGGACACCCAGCTCCGACGGACACGCTTGCACAAACTTTCAGCCACACGAGAAGAACGAGTCCAAGGCTTCCTGCAGGCCTTGGAACTCAAGCGGGCTGACTGGCTGGCACGTCTGGGCACTGCATCAGCCTGAGATGGCTGGCCTCCAGCCACTTTGCCCTGCCCTGTGCCTCCAGGGCCCCACTCCCTTTTCTTTTCTTGGTGAAGGGTACCTCCCTCCTGATGAATTGTGTTCCCTTTGCTTGGCAGGGAGCCCCAGAGGCCAGTTTATGCAGGCCATAGATAACTTTGGGTTGCCTGGGACTGTAGCCCCTGGGGAGGGTTAAGGGTAAGTCTCTCACAAGTACACTAAACCCAACTCTGGTTACCAATAGGTTTGGAGAGCAGGGGACCCCAGCTCTTCTGCTGTCTGCTCTTGCCACCTCTGCCACCTCTACCTGTGCTCCTAAATGCACTTTCTTTTCCATGAGCACATTCTTCAACACAGAATAGTGGAGAAGAGGTCTCCCCCAAACCCTCACCCTTTACCATCCATCTTAGCCTTCCACCCGACTTTCACAAAAGATTTGGCTCCACCTCGAATCTGCTGGTAAATAGCTAATAGGCAGCCAGCGTCATTTGGGCAAGGAAGGGAGAGACAGAAAATTTGCCCATCTGCTGCTCCTCCTCCTCGGCTCTCCACCTGGGATTTGCTATTGAATCTCTACCCCCTCCCACCACGCAGTGCTGATTGCTCACTGAAAGGCTCAGCGCCCCCAATGGCGCGCAGAAGCCAGGCGGGTGATTACAATCCAATTACCTATTGTCGACTCAGCCCACACAAGCTTTCCTCCTTCTCTTGCAGGGCATTGGGCCAGGCTCCACTCCCCAGTGAGACCAGCCCCCTCTATGACTCCAGAGTAACAGAAGGGCCTATAGGCCCTGGTAAATCTAGTCGAGCACAGGCCTCCTCTACTAGAACACATCAGGACCAAGAGCACAGTAACAGGCACTTCCCAACTGACTGCCTCCTGTCCTCACCATCTCAGACTCCTCAATCTTTGAGACTTCTCTCAGCTTTTTGACCTGGCCTCCTAAGTAGGCCCTGAGATGATTTATTCTAAGCATGGCAGAGTCTCAGCTTGTGAGGGCCAAGGCTGCCCAGCAGAGAGAAGAGGGTCAAGGCCTCTGTCCTTCTCCTTACCTCCCTGCCAGGCCTCACTGCAGAGCTGCTGAGAGGATTAGTGCCTTTGAACTGTCTGCCTGAAGAACTCTCTGCTTCAGGTGCCCCAGAGCAGCAAGAACAGCCAGTAATACCAACCAATGTCTATGCTGTTTAGTCTTCCTATTTTACTTTTTGCAAACTTTCTAGCACGTCCCTCTAGGGGAAGGTGGGGTCTCAAAAGCAGTGCTAAGAGTATACTCTTTAACAACCTCACTTTCCTATAGTCTCCTCCCTACCTTCCTATGCCTAGATATCTGGCACAAGAGACCCGTTAGCCATGATCCCTGCTCCTGTAATCAAGCTTAAAGGCCAGACACTGCGACTGAGGAGCCAATCGATGTACCCTTCAGCAAGCCCCCCACACACACCTGGCACAGGGTTCCCAGAGAGCAGGTGCTGTACATTTTCCAGCTTTACAATGGGGCTAGTTGACAGCCTTAATTAGGGAGGCATGAGTTATGGGGCTATAATGCAGAGCCCTACAATTAAGGCAGGAATGAGGGGCAGGAGGCAGCAAACGGAATCTACCCTGTGTGAGCATGGTTGAGTCCTGTCTCTGTTCTCGGTTTTCCCTAATATGATTGAGGGACAGCAGGGTGATTAATGGGGCTGGTGTCTCTGGCATGAGGTCCTATATTGTGGGAAAGGGGTGGAGTAAGGAGGGGCTGCTCCAGGAGCACTGTAGGGATGGAAAGAAGCTGCTGAGGAGCCACTGCTGCCCAGGAGCAAGGACCGCAACTAGTTGATTTGAACAACTTGTGGTTGCTTTCTACTGGTATGATTTGTACAAACCAGTTTCAACCCTTGCCTGAATAAACTAGATGGGACCTATTTAAATGTCCTCCCACCTGTGAACTAAGACTCCACAAGAATAGATATCATGTTTTTGTGTTTTCCTGGGTGTCAAATAGGAATTAATTTTCTTCGATGTAAAACTTCCTCCTAACCGTATGATGAAAGAACACTTGTTTTGTCACTGCAGTTGTCTACCCTCCCTGTGGGGCACCTAGCTACCTCCAGGATGCCTAGCTTCGGGGCTTGTGGGATGGGGGAGCCACTGGAAGAGCCCTTTTGCCATCACAACACCTGTTCCTCTACTTGTTTCCTAATCCCCGGACTTTCCTCCACCCTCCTTTCCCTCGCGCAAGTGAGAGGAAGCCAGCCTGCCAGTGTGGAAGGAGGGATTTCGCCAGCTGTGTTTGCAGCGCCCAGGCTTGGTGGCCGCGTCGTGGGGGCAGCTGAGCTTGATGTCTCTGAAGCGGGTGGAGCATAGGGGAAGGGGAGTGCTGGTAGGTCTTCTTGGCTGCCGCTCTTCATTCTGTGCCAGGATCCTGAAATCCGGGAATAGAGACCTCAGGGAAGCCACCCGACAGGTTTTGGCGGGGGGCTTCATTGACATTTGGGGAGGCGGCTGAGCAACGGGTGCTGAAAGGACAGCTCCTACCTGCCCCACTGCACCCGAAAGTAATCTCTGCGTGTAAAGTCTCCCCCTCAAACCCCCACCCCACCTCGAGTGGATCGCCTTCCAGGTGAGGTGCACGAAAAGCTTCTTCAGAGTGGCACCTTGGAACGATGCACGTCCGGCTGCGCCAAGCTGGCTTCCCCGCTCTTTCCCACTTCAGCGTCAGCCTTGGCCCTGGGAACTGCAGCCTGTGCCTCCAAGCGGCACGCTTTCTCCCGCCTCCGGCAGAGAAGGGCGGTGTGGCTAGGCCTTGCAAACCCTTCTTCTGGGGCCCCCAGCGGGAACAGGAAGGAAAGCGGCCGAGATGGGCCCTAAGTGTCGCACGGCTTGGAGAAGTGGGTAGCTTGGTTGCATAAGGTAGAAGGAACTTGGTAGTTTGCAAAAGCTAGCTCTTGGCGGTAGCCGAAACCCAAAGCCAGCCGACTCGCACACCCCCCTCATTTATCAGCTTCAACGCGCGCCTCCCTCGCTGCGCCCCCACCCC